AAGCAGCCTAGAAAATCCTCCACAAATTGAATAGGGGAACCTAATTCATTCCCCAAGAAACTTCATCTATGGTAGGAAAACCAGAAAGAAGGGACAGGGCATCTCCAGCTAACTTCTCTAAACACTGAGGAATCCTATTGAGGTCTAATTAGCTTGCAAGTTAATTTCTCCCTGAACACAAGAGGAATTCTCCAGGGAAGTCTATGGAAAGCAGACTGCTTGGCCTATGTGTGTTATGTTTATACGAGCATGTAAGTGTGCATATCTATGTGTGCTTCTGGGGGAGTTAATACTACCCCCAAAGTCCCTGCATTTCAGAGCTTTAATGACAAAACTTTCATAATGTATCCATCTTTTTGGGAGCCAACCCTATTCCCAGTAAGATGCTGGGAATACTGTGGACTTTGGGACACCCCATTCCTAATCTCAAAAGACTTCCACAGTACAGCACGGCACTCTGCTCCGGCCCACCTGTTCCTGGGCGCAGTTCCATGGTGCAGTACCCCTCAATCCACTGATAGCAGGGAAAGGGGATGATAGTGCCATCTGGGGCAGTGACAGTGATGCAGCTGCAGTACCAGGAGTCCTTTCGGAAGAATGCGAAGCGCTCCTTGTGTAGACGCAGTAGCAAGAGCTCGCCCAGCTCTGCTGAGCAGCGTACCTTGTACTTCTGCACCTGAGGCAAGCCATGGAGCAAGCAAGTGAGAGGCCCTGAACTGTCAAGGCCATCCTCACCCCCTGCAAGGCGCAGGACTCCCCGGTCTATGCCAATCCCTGTAGTGCCTCTGTATGAATAAGAAAAAGACAGGCCTCCAACCAGGAGGAAGCAGGATCCCTGGTGGTGTGTGAGCAGAGTGTCCCTGGATTTCCCTAGCCACCTTGGCCAGCAGGGCACCCTGGTGTAGCCACCAATAAAGAGCTGCACTGTAAGGCAGGCAGATCCCCTCCAGAGAAGAGGAAACCCAGGCTGGAAAGGAGAGGGGCTGGCTCAAGCCCCTGTCAATTATGGGAGGAACCAGGAAGCCAAAGAAAGTCCGGACCCCTGCCCAGTGCTCCTTCCTCTTCAGCCCCACCTGGGTAGGGTTTGTCATCCCAGAAAATGCAGAGAACCCAAAAAGAATGGTAACCAGGTCAATGTGAGCAAATCCTGGTTCAGCAGGGTTTGACAAGTTGGGCGGGAAAGCTCCACCCCTCCCTCAGGGTCTCCTAGAGCTCCTCTCCCACCTCTCTCCTTTACACTCACCGATCCCGGGGCGAAGTCTCTGCCCACTCGATCCAGCCGCTGCTTGGGGCTCTCTCCACACGTGCCCACCAGTGTGGCAGAGATGTTGTCCATCGTGCCAGCCTTCAGGTAGGAGCCAGTGGTCACACACAGGCGGTACACTGCCATGATGGGAGAGAAGGAAGGGTGCCCAGCAACGCCGACCTGGAGGAGGTGAGCCGCCCCGACAGGGTGGGCTGCTGGGTGGATGCGAGGGGGTTGGGGAAGGTAGGACTGAAGAAGGACCAGCTGCCTCCGGGATGCGCCCGAGCTCTCTCTCACTGAAGCTCCGGGCAGGTTGCTTTGGCTCACTCTCCCCACCCAGTCTTGCGCCCCAACACTTGTTTGCTTGCCTCTGGCACAGCCGGTCTCTCTGGCTGACTCAATAGATAAGTATCATAAGTCTGGGTCCACTGAGGAGGGAGGAACAAAATACTGAAAAGCAAGCAGGGAGGAAACGATGCCTATATGACTGGGATATACTAGCCTTCTGCCTAGTCAGGCCCTGACTGCTGGTCCAGGGCCCTCGTCGACCCACTCCCCAAGACCTTTTCTCTTTCTTTCTTTCTTTCTTTCTTTCTTTCTTTCTTTCTTTCTTTCTTTCTTTCTTCTTTCTTTTTCTCCGAATGCCTTCAGGGCAGGCTTGGCGGGCTTGAGTTGTGGGGATCGAACCACAGCAACCTGAGCCTGACTGCTTTGTTGAAGCAGCTACTTAAAGAACTGAGCTAAGGGGCAGCCCCCCCCCCAAGACTTTTTCTCCTGTCTCCCCATCGGAACTGTCCTACCTGTGACTCACCCGTGTGTGACTCACTAAGCACTCCTGAGCCACATTCAATCATACATCACAGGTGACTGCAGCCATGTGCAGGTGAGTTGTACACACATCTCAGCCTATGACAGGAGGGGCAGGAACAGCTCTGTTGCCACCCCACACATGCATTCCTTCCCCACGCTCAGGATCTGTCCCCCTCCTTTGGCACACCCGACCGAATGCAATCCCTCCCTCGCGCTAGGACCGCTCAGGAGACATAGTGGAGTCCTCGGCGCAAAGCGGGTGGAGGTCTCCTGCATTCTTTGCATTTCAGGTCTACCCTCGGCCTGCAGTTCTATGGGAGGGAATCCAGGTGCCCGAGGGATCGGAGATTTGGGTCACCGCCGCCCGGAAGCAACCTCCCAGCGTGGGAAGACCGAAGCGCGCAGCGGCCCCGTGCGGCCGGTCCCCACACTGCTGGCTACTGAATCAGCTTCCGCAGCGCCAGCTCCTGATCCCAGGTCCCAGCGTTCGCTGGGGAATGAGGCAGGAGGCGGAGAAATACAATCCGCCGCTTCAGAGTTAGTTACGGTTCCCTGGAGTCTGCTGTCCTTTGCGTTGACGTATGCTTGTTTACAGGTTCTGTAAAGAACTCTTTTAGGTAAGGGAAGAAAGACTCAAGCAAGAGCCCGGATAGCTCAGTCGGTAGAGCATCAGACTTTTAATCTGAGGGTCCAGGGTTCAAGTCCCTGTTCGGGCGTCTGTTTTTTTTCCCCCATCTGAAGGAAAAAGTTGTTAGGGAAATCATTAGATATACTGGGCTACTTCCAACATAGCAATCAAAAGTTATAACAAAAAATAGTAACCCTTTTTCAACAGAAAATGGTCTTACTTAATTTCTACAGTTGTGACGAGTAACAAGAAAGATTTTTTTCAACATTATGATCTTGATTCATTAATGGTTTTATTGTAACCTGACCAATTTATACTGTATATGTTTCATAAGGCACAAAGTTATATCTACATGCAGACTGACCAAACCAATTAACATCTATCACCTCAAAAATTTATTTGTGGAAGGAACATTTGAAATGTACTCTCAGCAGTTTTGAAATATATAATCCATAATTCTTAACTATAATTGCTATAATGTGTAATAAACATTGAAAACTTGCTTCTCCAGTCCACTTGAAGCTTTGTACCTTCTGACAACGATCATCGACCCCCTTGTCAGGCTCTCCAGCCTCTAACAACCCATCATTCCATTCTCCACTGCTGTGAGTGATTACTTTAAATTCCACAAATAAATAAGATCATCTGGTATTCATCTTTCTGTGCCTAGCATCATTTAAAATGATAAAGAGGGGATGTTTTAGAGTAGTATTTGCACAAACTATGTATGCGAATGCAAACTTTGTAGTAGCTACATCAAAAATTTTTTTTAAAATCAGAATATTAAGTTTAATAATATAGTTTACTTCATGAAATATCCCAAAATTTTACCTTGCTGTCAATAATTTTAAAATATTAATGAAATATTATCTTTTCCATAAGCCTTCAATCTTAGCAGCTGACAGTATATGATGATCCAAATTTCAGGTGCTCAGGAGTGGTGTCTACTATATATTTAGCACAATGATTATTTTGACAGGTGGAGGGGAACAGGCAAAATAGAATGTCAAGTAATGTATAAAGTTTCAGGGCTAAATAGGAAGAGGAGGTTCCATGGTGTAATGGTTAGCACTCTGGACTCTGAATCCAGCGATCCGAGTTCAAATCTCGGTGGAACCTTGGCTTTTTAAAAGTTTTTCCTATCGTGAAATATATTATTTGTTGCTATGTGATATCCTCTTTCCATGGAAAGGGTCTCAAGCCAAAAACAAGGAACAAACTTGTTCTTGTTTCACGCTAGGTAACTAAAATCACTACAACACACTGAGGAGAAAAATACAGAGAATCATTATTATATATTGTAATTTGTACTAATTGTGGGATAAGAATGTTTTATTTGAACATGTTAAAATGGAGATCAATTACAAAGCAATAAAAGTTATTTAGACAGTTTCTGTCACATCTTGGTTTGGGATATGGATGTAAACCTCATAGTGTTCCGTCTGAAAACCAAGAGAAAGTGAACAGTGAACTTGCTCCTAGGGTCCTCATAAAAAAAAAAAAAAAAGGAGGAAAACTCTGGCCTGGCAGCGGTGGGATTCGAACCCACGCCTCCGAAGAGACTGGAGCCTAAATCCAGCGCCTTAGACCGCTCGGCCACGCTACCTGCGTGAAAGCACAGGGTATCCGTAATCCTCCTAAGAGAGTAGAAGGCAGCAGTTAAGGTGAAAACTATTAAACTGACTTCCCTTTCCGCGTTTTTCAAATTAAGACTAGGGAATCATTGAGACCCTGGACCACGTAGCAAGAAAAGATGAGCCGGGGAAAACACACACAGAAATTTACAACAAAACAAGTTTATTTGCCACGGCCACATCTGAGAGTGCTGTGCGTTTGAAGCACTTCCCAAGCAGGCAGCCGGAGCTTTGCACGCTCGCTCGCTCTTGCGAGTTTGCTCTCCCTCCCTGTTTCTTGCACGCTTGTGCTTCCTCACTCCCACCTGGCCCACAGGCTTTGCGCGGTTTATCTCTCACCCCTTCCCCCCGCCCCCTACCCCCCACCCCCCGCCCCCAGCAGGCCTCAGAGAGCCTAACCTCGTGTTCCTGGCACGCCCCGCCCAATTTCCACGTGCACATACACCCTTATTCTGCTTCTTCATCATGCTACTGCCCGTAAGCTGTGAGACGCCGCCACCCGCCAGGTGGCTCTGTGGCGCAATGGATAGCGCATTGGACTTCTAGTAATGAATAAAAGCGATTCAAAGGTTGTGGGTTCGAATCCCACCAGAGTCGGTTTTATTTGAATAGGTTGTTTTTTTTTTGTTTTGTTTTGTTTTTTTTTTCCTTTCTTTTTTATCTGGCTTTTCTTAAAGGCCCGTCCCTTTCCCCCTACTCTATCTCTGTGTTTCCCAGTTGGTTTCAGACCTAACCTTAGTCTCCGCTCTGCTCTCTTTACTTACCTGTCTGCCCGGGACTTGGGCCATGCAGAGCAGGACTAGGGGTAGGAGACAGAAGGGAAGGAAAGTGGGCGTGGACGCCGAGATAAAGGCAGGCCCCTGGCTCCGGGACACACGGGGATTTAATAACCAGTTTATTCCATGCACTAGGGACTTGGGAAAGGCCTGGGACTGAACTGGGGCGGAGGGTACAATCCTAGGCGCAGGGTGGAGGGAGTCGGGGAAAAGGGATAGGAGTCAGGAAATATATATTTATATAGATACTCTAATATAGACCACATCTCACCCACGCGCTGAGCCCCCGCGCCCCGCTGCCCTCCCCGACACCTCGCCCGGGCGCCCAGATTCCTCTGCTGCCCTCGGGCTGGAGTCTCTACCCCACTCCCAGCCCCCACTCCCGCCCCCATCCCCGCAGCGCTCAGGGCCAAGGTCTCCAGAAAGCGGGTGGCGGGAGCGGCGGGGCCTTGGGCGCCCCGTCTTGTCTGTAAGGCGGCGGCGGCGGCGGCAGCAGTCCGGTGAGGGGCGCCAGCGCGCCAGAATCCCAGGCGCTAGGGGAGCAGAGGGATGGGGACCACGCGCAGCGCGGACTAGGGGGACCCTGGTGCAGCGCAGGGCCAAGGGCCGGTGCAGCGGGGTCCAGCGGTGGACGCGACACTGGGGGCCTCGGATCTACGGGCTCTGGCCGAGGCGGTTTGGGGCGCAGGTAGCCGTGCAGCGCGGAGAACAGCTGGGCGCGGGCGGCCGGGCTGGCGTCGTGCGCGAAGGCCGCCAGGCGGAGCAGGCACTCGCGGAAGCCGGACAAGTAGCAGCTGGCGAGCGCCTCGGCGTCCTGGGCTGGGAATCGGGGAACCCCTGGAGCCACCGCGGCGGGAGCGGCCAGCGGGAAGACAGACGGGCGGGGCAGGGACCCAGCAGGGGTGAGGGGAGGGGCGGGGCGCGGAAATACCGAGGTCGGACGGGCGCACAGAGACAGGAAGCCAGAAGATGGACAGAGAGAAAAAAAATGAGAGAGACACAGACAGACACGCGCGGGTATTATTAACCTGGCCTAGTAGCAAAGCCTGCCACTCCCCAAGCCCACCGTCCACCTCAGGGCTGCCCCGCTTCCCCAGCCGAGCCTCCGGGGTCCCCCCAACCTCCGCTGCCCCTCCCCCGCTCTGTACCCGGGGGCTCCACCCGGCTTCGCTCCCTCAAGTAGCCCACGGCGAACTCCAGTATCTCCGCTTTCTCCAACTTCGGGTTCCGGAGGTTCTACAGACGCGAGGGGAGGGCGCAGAGACAGAAAGGGGTGGGGAGAGAGGGGGAAAGTGGCAGGGAGAAGAAGGGAGGGGCAGATACGGGAGCTGGCGGTGGCCCCAGAACGCGTGACCGGATATGAAGTGAGATGACCACGGATGGTCCTGTCCCACCCCGAGACGAAACCGTCCAAGCCGAGGGCATGGGACCAGTACCCAGTGTGTGAGGAGGGGGATGGAAAGGGCTACCCAGGGAGGGAAAACCACCTGCCGAACTGAAGCTGGATGATCTGGGGTGCAAGGGAGGGGAAGAGGACTTTTAGAGAGACTCGGGGTGAATGACCCACCCTGGGAGCGAAATTTACAGAACCAGACGGGAAACTTACAGACCCGGCATTCTGAGAACCGGGGAAATCAGGAATGAGATCCCAAGGGCCAGGCTCGGGTCAGAGCCGGGCTAGCCCTTCCAGACTATAGACTACGTCCCTCCCCCGGTGGGAAGCCCCGGGACGGGGGAATCGGATCCTCAGGGGTCCGGACCTAGCGGAGGGACTGACCTGGTCCCGGGTCCGCTCCAGCAGTAGAAGCCGTAGCTCTTCCAGGCTGCGGTTGATGCGGTCCCGGCGCCGCTTCTCCACTAGCGGCTTCAGCATCTGCGACCAGCGGGAAAGGGAGAGCGGGCCGACGGGACCGAGACTCAGCGCCGCCGGCCCGGCATCCGGATCCCGCCGCTGGGAAAGCCTTCTTCCACTTTCCCAGGACCCCAGTTTGCCTAGGCAGGGCCCATCCCATCCCTCTCCACGCCCCCTCCCACCGCCCCTGGGATCCCTTGCTGAAGCTCGCCTCCTCTCTCTCTCTCGGGTCTTCTGTATTCTCCTCTGAGTCTCGTCCTCCCTCCTCCCCATTCTGCGTCTCTCCTCTTTTCTCTCTACGTCTCCGTCTTGTGCAGTCTTTCCGCCTCAGTGCAGAACTCTGGGGACCCTCTTTGTGCCCAGGCAAGAGCATTGCACTGTACGGGACTCAGAGTGGGTGGCCCTGAGTGTGGAAAGGGGGACACATAGAGCGACCGCTCCCCTCGTCTCCCTCAAACCGGTCTAGGCCGTCCCCCTTCTCCACTGCTTTTCCTGAAATCTTCCAGCGGAACCTCTGGGACCCATCCCCAAGGCTTTCTGCAGGGGCTGCTCTGGGTCAGCTCTGGTTCACAATCCCAGTGGAGCTAAGGCCTGTTCACTCTTCTCTTCTCTTCTCTGCTCTTCTCTGCTCTTCTCTGCTCTTCTCTTCTCTTCTCTTCTCTTCTCTTCTCTTCTCTTCTCTTCTCTTCTCTTCTCTTCTTTTCTCTTCTCTCCACTCCTCTTCTCTCCTCTCTCTCGTCTCTTTCCTCTCTCTTTTTTCTCTCTTCTCTCTTTTTTCTTCTCTGCCCCCTTCCTCCCTTCTCTCCCCAGTTTCTCTCCTTGGCTCCCTCTTGCTTTTTTACTGAAATTCTGGTCTTCCCTACTCCACACTCCCATGAGGTGCCTCAGTACCCAAGCCGCTAGAACCCTGCTTCTGCCTTGTTCTCTTCTTCACCAAACTTTGCAGCTTCCTTTCCAGCGCCTGGTTCCTTGGATCCTCCCCACCGGGCACCTCTTCCCTTTCAGTCCTGTGTCCCCATCTTCACCCTTGATCCACGGTGTCAGGGCCCAAGTTCCCAGGCCGGACCGAGGATCTCTGCTCCCTCCCCTCCCGCCTCTCACCTTGGGGCCGTCCCTATTCTCAGCTTTATCTCGGGTGACCATTGTTCCTCCGGACCCTGGCGCGAACCTAGGCTGTGCTTGCGTTGGTCCTTATATCCCGCTGCACGGAGTAGGAGGGATAGGTCACGGCCCCGCCCCCTTCGGCAGGCACCTGGATCCTGCGGGGCCAAGACCCCGGGCACGAGGCTCCCGGAAAGGCAAGGAGGGAAGGGGGGATGGGAAGGAGAGGAACTGGCCTGAGAATGTGGGAAATAAAGGCCGAATAGGCACCGGCTGGTTTAAGGACCATAAGGCTGTATAATGAGGCGGGGATACAGCTTAGCGGAGAATGGGGAGATGCAGTTTCAGTGTTTGGGGACAGAACTCAGAGGTGACATTCAGAGAGCTTTCCTAGAGCTGCAGCTTTCTTAGAGGATCACCGTTACCCCCACGAAAACGTAAATAAAATCATCACCCCTCAGCTTTTAGGCTAAATAATGTAAACTGTCACCCAAATTCCCCTCCTGGCCAATACAGGGAATAACTGCGAACCCTGATTCAGCTGGGGCTACCTGGTAGTGCAAGAGGTACACTGTTCAGTTCTCCCTTATCTGGGAGCGCTGGCTGTGTGCACAGGGGCTCAAGCAGAAGTGCACAAGAGGTCTGGCTCAGCCCTGCAGATCTAGTGAGAAAGGCGATGTGTCATTAAGCTATTATAAAAGCAAAGGGGATGGGTGCTCCAGGAAAAGGATTTCCTTGGGAGAGCATGGGGCGCCTCAAGGAAAAAGGATCAAATCTTTAAAATCAGAGTAGGAATAGAAAGAACTTTCTACTTTCAAGTATTTAGTTCAAGATTTAACTCAGGAACGTAGCTAATGGGACACCTCATACATGAGTGCCCTTGTCACTTGCATTTGGAGGCCCTTCCTAACTATAGTAGAGCAGGGAGCACGCAGTTTTGCTAAAGGCATAAGAAAGGGATACAAAAAAGTGATCAACACCAACCTTAAACCAACAGCATAACCCTGTCCAGGATGCGTGAACACTTGATGATTTCAGGACGAAGTGCCTGAGAAAAAAGATAAGTCAGAGACTTAATGGGACAAAGAGTGCCTCAGAAAAGTACACAGAAAGAAAGAGTTACAAACCGAAGAAACGAGGGCGGGTTTCCTCCAAGCCCTTCTTCCTTCACCCGCTCCACAATTTGATTGTTTTTCGAAGAAAGAAAGAAAGAGCCCGAACCAGGAGGGCTCCAGTTCTTGAGGAAGGGGTTCCCATTTGGGATCAGGGCCCCCAGTTTATCCCGCCTCCCCTGCCTCCGCCAAATGGGAGGGCAGATGTGTAGCCTCAGCAGCCCCCGCCGCCCCCCTCCTTGGGAACCTGGGCTCGAGTTGAGTTTTTCTCACTTGCACGCGAGGCTTGGGGCCCTGAGCTGTTAGCACCCGGGTGTGGGGCCGCCCCTAGCCATATGGAGTGGGTTTATGGCCGTGTGGCCGGATCCAGGCGGGAGAAAGAATGACCTGGAGCCCCACCTACGTGAACCATTGCTGGCGGTCTTTCTCTGAGGTTGCGGCCTCTGCTGTCCGCCCAGTGACGTTAGCCTCTGCTTCCTACAAAGGTAGAACTAGAAGCAGTCTACTCGTTCTGTGCATTGGTGGTTCAGTGGTAGAATTCTCGCCTGCCACGCGGGAGGCCCGGGTTCGATTCCCGGCCAATGCAGGTTTCGCTTTTACTTGGCTTCAATGCAGCTTCATTTTGTTTTTGCCCCTTCATGGGAAAAAAATTCATTTGCTCATATTTTTAAATCATACTTTTAATATGATATCTTTGTTTATTTCTATCTACTATTTTGTGTAGTCTTTCGACTCTTGCAAAGTTCGAAGCTCCGAATCTAAGGATTTCTTAGGTCCCACAGGCCCCTCCTCCCAGTTTGAGGGTCCTGCAGCCTCCATACTCCTCCCATCACCCCCGGCCCGCACCTCTATAGGCGTGACCCTGAGAAAGGACGCGCCACTAGGATCCCCACCCCGGGGGGTCCTCTCGACCCTCGGCGGGGTGGGATGTTCTCCCTGCCCCCACACTCTAAATCCCTCCCTCTTCTTTCCACCTCTCTTCCACTCCTTATTTTCTGTTCTCTGAAGAGCACTTCCTTTTCCCCTGGACCTGGGCCTTTTTTGTTTAGCAGTCGTTTGGATCTCTGAAGGCCTCTCAGTGACTCCATCGCTCCGTCTTTCTGAATCTCTTAGCGACTGCTGTTCGGGGTCCCTTTGCTCCCAGTCTTTAGTGGTCTCTACGGCCTCTGCTTCTGTTTTCCAAGTCCGACCCTCTCGGACCTCTCGTCCTGCTCCCCAGCTCTCTCTGCCTGTGTGTGTGTCTCTGCATGTCTCCGGTCTCTGTCGCCGCCCAGGACTCTGCGCTCCCACGCTCCGGCTGACCCCAGGGAAGCTCGCGCACTGACACCTCCACGCTCCCAACACCTCCCCGCCCCGTCCCGCCCCTTCCCGGCCGCTTTGATCCAGCACGCGTCGCGCTGGCAGGCGCGCAGGAGGGGCGCGGCCACCTGCGGAGGCCACTTGTGCGCGGGACCGGGGGCGCGGGTCCCACACTCCGCCGCCGGCTTCCGCTCCCTCCCGGCGCGTTCCGCCCCTCTCCGAGCCGCTCTTCCTGGTGCTGTCTTTGGCTGCCGAAGCCGGGTCGGTTCTATCGCTGTCTCTGTTCCTAGATTCTGCCTCCTACCTCTTTCAGCCTTTTTCATCTGGGTCAGAGTCTGGATCTGTCAGGATTGTGTCTGGGGCAGGCCACGCTCTCCTCTGGACTCTAAGCCTTGACAGAGGTCCCCGAAAGAACTTATAAAACACTAAGCATCTGGGGGCGCAGCTGCTGCGTTTATTCACTAAATTGATGTGTTTATTCAGTGCATCTTGTACATTGAGAATTGTTAGGTATAGAAGACATATCCAGTCTGGGCGTTCCTGGAGCTTACATTACAAAAGGAAGAGAGAAAATAACCAAGAAAACAAAATATTACGGGATAATGTCAAATGGTTATAAGGCTGGAGCTCCACCCACGTGAACCCTTGCAGGCCATCCCACCCTGGTAATGACACAGTAGGGTATAGCATGGCGCTGTTGAAGTCTTGGTGGGCAGGAAGAAGTGGTCTAAGAAGAGGTGATAATGGGACCCTATGCTGTCAACTTGGAGTCCGGGTAAAAGAGCAGCTTCAAAGGCCATGAGATAGAGGGCTTTGGTGGGAGCCACAGAAAGAAGGCCAAGGAATCTGGGCTAGAGAATTTGGGAGTAGCAGAGGTAGGACAGGAGAGGCATGGCCGGTCGCACAGAGCCACGGAGGCCCCTAAGGCACTTGGGTTTTAGTCTAAGAACAGTGGGAAGCCAGCAGAGAATCTTCACCAGGAAAGCTGTGCTCTGACTTCCGTCTCAAAGATCATTTTGGAGCTAGGCATAGTGGTACTGGCCTCCTCAGAAGGCTGAAGCAAAAGGATTGTTGAGCCCAGGAGTTCAAGGCCATAGTGAGACACCTCACTCCCATCTCCCAAAAATAAATAACTTTGGGGTCCTATGTTGGTCCACTTGGGAGAAGCTTTATCTTTCCCAAGCCCACGGACCCACACCTGATGTACCCCCCTCACTGTAGGAGAGAGGTTTCCCCTGCTTCCCTGTTTTCTCCACCATGCTGGTATCTACCCACCCTCACCAGTATTCCCATCAGCACCAAAAGTACTTTGAACCATCTGAAGAGAGAGACATGAAATCCTCATTTTGAAAAGCAGAAAAGCTATCCAGGCCACGAGTATAGGCATTGTAAGCATGCTGAGAGCCCATCAGCGATGCGGTTCACGGGCACGGGTCAGATCACCAAGAAGCTAATGAAATCCAGGAATTCTTCCTAACACAAACCCAGGGGAAGGCTTCAGCGAGGTGTTCACAGGGCCAGGAGCTTCTGTAAATTTCTCAAACATTAGCTCTTTCAACCACAAGCACTCTCTTTCTACACCTTCCACCCCCACTTCACCCCCACTACTCTCCCCCATCAACCCCTTCCCCGTCCCAGCTGCCTCTCCACTGTGCTCTTGCCCTGGTTTTGGACTTGGGGGTCTGGTAATGGAGAAGATGAATTGGAGAGACATTGGATTTGCAGTTTCCTGGGATATATTCCCATAATTTGCAATCATTTTCACATATCCTTGCCTTAGCCTAGCCACCTGGTGTAGGCGTGGCTTCCAAAAGGCTACTGTCATGGTTCCCAGTTGTGAGGGTATAGAGCGAGACAGCACCTGTGATATGACAGTGTCGAGTGGGTGGCTCTTGACACTGTAAGTGCCTAAGTGGTAGAGGAGAAGCAAAATTTGAAATAGAGCCAACAGCCAACAGCTACTCTGTGGAAAGTATTATTATAGAGATATGTAGGCATACCTTACTACAAGTAAGGTATTTTTCTGGACTTGGTGGCATCTGACCTTTTTTGTTATTGTTGTTGAGACAGTATCTCATGAAATTTCTAACCTTCCCAGACCCAGACTGGCTTGAACTTGTGATCCTCCTGCCTCAAAATGCTGGGATTTCAGGTATGTGCTACCATATCTGTCTCTTATATTTTCTTTTCTTTTCTTTCTTTCTTTCTTTTTTTTTTTTCCAGAACCAGAGATTGAACTCAGACCCCTGTACTTGCCAGGCAAGCACTTATTCTACTGAGCCATCTCCCCAGCCCCTATTTTCTTTCTTTCTTTC